CCCCGCTAACACTCAGTGTGCTGTGCTGTAGGATGACGGTTTATGCTAGGATCATGAACATGGTCGCTAACCCCCGCTAACACTCAGTGTGCTGTGCTGTAGGATGACGGTTTATGCTAGGATCATGAACATGGTCGCTAACCCCCGCTAACACTCAGTGTGCTGTGCTGTAGGATGACGGTTTATGCTAGGATCATGAACGCCGTCAGTGTTTGCTGCAGCTCTGAAAACCTAACTCTGCTTTCTTCCTCTCCTGGATGCAGGACCGGGGATTACAAGTACAAAAGGGGAACCACTGCGGTGCTGTCCCAGTCCGTCACCCCGCTGCTCCTGGAGGTGGTGAACGAGTCCGTCCAGACTATGGACACCTCCTAAACTCCTGCTGCTCCTCTGTTTCTTTGTTCACAATAAATGTTTGGAGTCACTGGTGTCTGTTGGTTGGTTTGTCGGTTTGAGGCAGAAGATGATCCACTGAGGCGTTAGCAACACGATAATTAGCATCATGGCTAAAAGTCGAAACCAAAGGTCACAGATTAGACCCAGCCTGATTTAAAATATTTATGGGAGGGATTAAAGTCTTCCGACCCCAGGCCAGATTTCCGGCTCGTAGTGATTGTCAATGGGTAAAAATAATCACTTGAAAATAAATTGACTGTAAATAAATTTCAGAAAGACAATTGAAATCCCCCGTGCTTTGTCAGCCAATGGTAGCAAAGCAGCGCTCTGAAGCTAACAGTATTAGTTTCTTGCTCAAGGTGTCAGATTAAGGTTCAGTGCTGAAGTTAGCCACCATGCGCAAGTTAAAAAATAAAAATAAATGAAACTTTGTGTTTGGAGAGAAGGACGACAGAACGGAATAACGTGGAGTGGGAACCACGCAGTTCATGAACTCCGGCACGCTGTGCTCCAGGAAGCTTATTTACGCATCCAGTGGCAAAAAGATGCTACGCTAACGGGAATTGGACCCGGGTCATTAAGCTGCTGTCCGTGCGGCTGTGCACGCCACACGTTTACCAGGAGCTACAGCAGCATCTGATGTACCACCGTCAGTAACTGACCGCATGCCGGTTAAAACTGGTTTGTTTCCTCGCTGAACACGACGCTTAGCAGCAAAACGACATGTCAAAAGAAATGCGGTTCATGCAGGTGGTAGATAGAGATGCACTATTGCCATTGTAGGAGCTATTTCTCCATTTTTAGTTAGAATTTAGATTAATTAGTTTGATTTCTTATTTAGAATGAGATTTGTTAATTTAGTTAATTAGTTAATTTTAGCTTGGGATGTGGGCATTTCACAGTATAAATATGGAGATCTTAGGTAGCTCATAATGCACCTGGATGGTCATAGGTTTTTTTGTTTTTATAAGTTTTCAGCCAGTCGATCAGTCAACCAAAGAACCGGTGCAGGAACTAGAGGGAAACAGTAACAGAATCCTGTAACCTGTTTTTCTGTACGGACAATAAAACAAGTAAAGAACTGGATTCCATCCTCTTTGATCTTTTTAGACTTACTAAGCCAGAATCCACGGTGCATCAGGTGGCTGTTTCAGTTAAATTCACCTTTTGCTTTCATCACCTTTAAGTCTTAAGTTTTTTTATTTTGGAATTTTAGTTTGGTTCAAATAGTCACTATAGCCATCTACTGGCCGTTTTTGGTATTGATTTTCAAAAGAAAAATTTGGTTTTCCAACATTAACAGATATCCTGAGTTCCAAAAACTCATTTCAGGGAGATGCTTTATTTTCAATGCTTTCAATCTCCTTGAACATCGGTTGTGCTTTCTGTTTTTCATGGACTTCAGCATACAGTGCACCTCGCCATGATGTCATCACTCCTCACCATGGCCGGTTCTAGACAGGGGCCAACGGGGGCCAGTGCCCCTGTAGATCACTTCCTGGCCCCTGTACTGAAGACAATACTTAAAATAAATTTTGATGATGATCTGCGCTGGAACAGACATGGTTACTGATGGGTCCTTTGGATCGATTTCATTCTGCAGCTGATATTCTTTATAAATTCTGTTTTACTAATTATTCAAAAACAATAAGGTGATAGCTTCAGTGGTGCTGAGAGAGGATCCCAGTTTTCATCTACTAAATGTTTTCTTTTTCAGAAAAAATAAAAAAATGCTCTAATTTTTACAGATTAATTTAACAGTTTTTTTTTTTAGTTCTAATTAAAATTTTATTGAAAACAGTAGTTTTAAATTAAGTCAACAATCTGTAAAATTCCTAAATTATAAATGTATATTGACCTCATAAGAAATAGAATTTTTATTGAACCTCATTGAAAATAAATTTCCCTTCATGCAGCTCTCTTAACATATTTAAATCTCTTGCCCTGTTTTTTATTTCATGCTTTTCTGGGCCCCCCATGAAAACACGCTGGCCCCCTGCTGGCTACCTGGTTCATTTGGTCTAGATCCGCCACTGTTCACCTTCACTAGACGTGGATATACTTTAGTATATCCTGCTGTAGAATTAGTCCCATATTTTGGTTTTTTTACTCGAGGATTGACCCTCCGCCGTTTCCCAGGATTCCCTTATTGGCCAGCACAGATGTCAAACGGTTTCAGCAGGGATATTGGCCCACTCCTCCCTGCAGACAGCCTCCACATTTCAGCAGGGATATTGGCCCACTCCTCCCTGCAGACAGCCTCCACATTTCAGCAGGAATATTGGCCCACTCCTCCCTGCAGACAGCCTCCACATTTCAGCAGGAATATTGGCCCACTCCTCCCTGCAGACAGCCTCCAAATCATTCAGGTTCCCAGTTTGTTGCCTGGCAACTGGAATTTTAAGCTCCCTCCAAAGATTTTCAACTGGATTCAGGTGTGGAGACTGGCTAGGCCACTCCAGAACCTTGATGTGCTTCTTCTTCAGCCACTCTGTTGTTGCCATGGCGATGTGCTTAGGGTGGTTGTGGTGCTGAAACACCCATCCTCCACCCATCTTCAGCTCTCTCACTGAGGGAAGGAGATGTTGGTCCAGAATTCCAGCATACATGGCCCCGTCCATCCTCCCCTCAATACCATGGAGTCGTCCCTCCCCTTGGCTGAACAGCACCCCCAAAGCATGATGTTGCCACCACCATGCTACCTGTACGTTTCTGCTTGAGCAGGGGGACCTCACCAAACGAACGTCCCATCAGCGTTGGCTTTGAGGCAGGTTGAGGTGTGACGTAACGAGAAGCGCGACAGTTCAGTCTAGGGATGCACGATATTGGGATTTTGGCCGATATCCGATATGCCGATATTTTAAAACTCATGTAGCCGATAACCGATA